AACTACCCAGAAACATGCCCAACCATTTCTACAGATATGACGGCTATAAGCAGGACCAAACATTCCCCAAAAAATGCATGCACGGAGGAGGAGGAGGAGGAGGAAAACGCCGAAGAGGAATAACACCAAAAGGATGAGGATGATTCGTATGAGGGAGCGAGGAGGAGTGAGATGAGGAGGTATAAGAGGAGGAGGAGGAGGAGGAGGAGGAGGAGGAGGAGGAGGAGGAGGAGGAGGTTGAGGAGGAGAAGCAGGAAGATGAGGAGAATGAGGAGGGGGAGGAGGACCAGGAGAATCAGGATGTGAGGATGACGAGGAGGAGGACCGGGAGGGAGAGAGAATGGGGATGATAACGAGGAGGTGTAGTGGAAGGGGAAGGATGACGACGATGCGGAGGAGGAAGACCTCGACGACGACGACGCCGAAGGCGCACGCGGATCAGGAGCAGGAGGGCGCACGAACACTCTTAGGAGCCACCCTGGCTCGAAAAACGCTGCTTGGGATACTGGACACTGGCGATGATGATGGTTTTCTGGGCTGCTGCCTTTCCGGGAGACGAGTCTCATCATTCGTTCGCGCACGCACGGGGACGTGCACGCTGACCTATGTCACATACGCCATGTAGCATGCAGAAGCACAAACATGCGCGCACACACGCACACACACACACACACACGCACACACACACACACACACAGCTCCGCCAGAGTAACACGTCAGCACGGAGTGGACTCTCCTCGGGGCCGGTCCGAGCCCACAGTGCGGGGAGTCGGTGGTGCAGACCCTCTGCAAGGGGCCCCAGGCGCACGGACCTCGGAGTCCCTGGGAACCCCTGGGGGGCGGAAAGATACGGATACGTGTTGTCCCCGGACCTCTCTTAGGGGTGCGTTCTGACCAGAATTCCGAGGCGACTCCAGCGGTGACAACGAGGATTCCCCAGGAGGACCAGGAAAGGCCGGAAACGACGGGGGACAACACGTCTCCGTATCTTTTTCTCCCCCGGGAACCCCTGGCAGCTTCCCGAGGCGGTCGCGTGACTCCCACGCGGCCAGGGGGGCCGTGCTGCGGAGCCCAGGCTTCTGCCACGGACCCCAGGGGGGGGGGGGGGGCCGTCCTGGGGGCGGCCCGGGGCGCCACTCGAAGAGGAGGAGGAGGAGGAGGAGGAGGAGGAGGAGGAGGAGGAGGAGGAGGAGGAGGGTCTCAGGAGGCCCTGGGTCTGGCCCGAGAGAACCCTAGATCAGGGAACGGCGTGCTGCTTCCATCGGCCTTAGCACCGCACAGCCTGGCCTCTTAGGGCCCCGGGCTGCCCCGGACGGCCGCCACGATCGCCCCCCAAAGAACGGCGTCGACCGAGGCTCCGAGGAGGGCCCCAAGGGTGCCTCCAGGACGGCCTCGGAGTGGGGGGCAGAAAAGCGCGCCACCGCCAGACTGGAGGCTGCCCCTCCAAGATGGACCCAAGACCCCCAGAGGACTCCAAGGGACCCCCAAGAGACCCTCAAGAGCACCAAGGAGGCCCCGAAGAGCCTCCCAGGAGGCGCCCAAGAGGTCACCGAGAGAGGCTCCAAGAGACCTCCGAAAGGCCTCTGGTCCAAGACCCAAGCACGAATGCAGGATGTCGACGGCCATGAGATCCGAACACGAAACGATACGACACCAGATTATCAGCTAACCTTGCCTGCCCTGTGATGAGTGGGCTCCTCGTCCTCACGCCGCGCGCCCACAGCAATGAGGTGCCTCTGGACAGCTGTAAGGGAAACAACACGCTCAAAAAAACCTCAAGAGAAGCCCGGGAGAGGGAGAGGGAGAGAGAGGGAGAGAGACAAAACAGGAAAAGAACTAGAGAACTGAGGGAACAGAGGGAAGAGAGCCAGGCAAGCTGGCCCGCCCCACCTCCTGCTGCAGCTTCCACAGCATCGCTCATCCTCCCCGCCCCCCCGCCTCCCCCCTCCGCAGCAGCGCCGCCGCACTGCGCTCGCGGCTGGCTGCGGGGAGGTCCTGGCTCCAGCAGCAGCCAGCCGCCGAGGTTCACGCCGCGCCACGACGGCCACCTTCCCCCCAGGAAGCACACACCACGGCCCCGCGCAGCCCAGCACAGCCGCGCTGGGCCGAGAGGCACCGCACCCAGGACGGCCCAGGATGGCCCGGAGATGGCCCCGGACGGCCGACGAGGCCCCCCCAGGAGGGCTCCAAGACGGCCCAAGAGGCCTCCAGGAGGCTCTCCAAGAAGACCCGAAGAGGCGAGCAGCTGCCATTGCCCCTGGGGTGTTGAAAGATGTTGGCATTTGCGTTTGCTCCTTTCGGCTTCCCGACGGCCCAAGAGGCGATCAAGATGGCCCCCTGACGGACCAGAAGGCCCCCGATACGGCCCCAAGAGGGCCCCAGAACGGCCCAGCAGACTTCCAAGACGCCCAAGATGGCCTCCAAGATGGCCCTGAAGCGACCAAAGATGCCCTCAAGTCGCCCCAGGGAGGGCCCCCAAGACGGCTTCCGACGGCGTCAAGTGGGCCAGGAACGCCCAGGACGAGCGGAGGCCCCGAAAGGCCCAAGGAGGCCTCCAAAAGGCCCGAGGAGGCCAGAAGGCGAAGCCCTCCAGAGTGCCCGAAAGGCTCCTCCTCCTCCTCCTCCTCCTCCTCCTCCTCCTCCTCCTCCTCCTCCTCCTCCTCCTCCTCCTCCTCCTCCTCCTCCTCCTCCTCCTCCTCCTCCTCCTCCTTATCCTCCTTATCCTCCTTATCCTCCTTTTCCTCCTCCTCCTCCTCCTCCTCCTCCTCCTCCTCCTCCTCCTTCTCCGTTGTCCTCCCCCTCGTCATCTTCCTTTTCCTCCCCCAGGTTCGGGGTCGAAGAACACCCGCGCAGGCTCAGCCGCACATATATCGGCAACCTCGGCAAAATCACCATGCACAGCTAAAGCTCCAAAATATTCAGACACTTGGCGCGCCCGCGAAATGGCGCCGGGCTGCAGCCGCGCCCCGCCGCCCACCGACGCACGCCCAAGAATGTCGCCAAACACTGCGCAGATCTACTGGATGAATATCCCAGGCGCCTTGGACATGGTCCGGCACCATCTCAGTCGCTCCACGCAAAGCTCCAACTCAGCAGAACCGAGCTTCAACCCCCAGCGAACTTCACTAGTAGAAGGCGCAAAAACGTGGCCATGAGAGAGATGAGTACGTCGCGCCATAAGGGCCCCTCGCCCAAAATTACTCCACGCCTTGTCGATCAGAGCGAGGTCAGAACAAGAAACAACGTGAGCTACAGCACCAGACGCCGTCGTCGCAATAACCAAAGGGCGAAAAAAACAAGCACAGTAAACTCTCTGCGGGCACGGGCCCAGAAACGGCCAAACCGAGAACAATGCCCGTGGGCTTTCCCAAGTTCTTAGCGCGGCGAGCGATAACACTGCCCCAGAGATTACGCCAACCGCCGAGATGACGTGCAACTGGTACGACACGACCCGGAATACCACAATCAGGAGCATAAGCACGACGATAAGAAGCACGAGAGCCAGGGCCAAAGAAGGATATAACGGCTTCGAGTTGACCCCGACGCTGCACTAATGCGGGATGACGATTAATAAAAAAATGGAAGGGAACGATTAAAAACATAGTTTTCTGTTATTTCTGTACATTTTCTGACTGGAGGAGAACGATTAAAAAATAGTTTTCCAGCCCGCGGCCGGTTTTTTCTAATCATCATCCTGGGCGCCGCCGCGTGAACACGACCCCCGGTCATTTATTAATCGTCATCCTCCATTATGGAAGGCATGCCAGGACGGGCACCAACCAGAGCTTCGTCCAACCGCTGGGAGGCAACTAAACTGGATCGCAAACAAGACGGGAAACTATCAGCAATAAGAATCGTCTTCGCATCGTCCGCGAAAGTGCAAGTTCCAACATCAGTATTGCGATGAACTCCGGAAATGGACACAGATGCGTGGATGCGCATGTCACCAAGGCTCGCTGAATACAGATACATCTCGCCATGGAAGACGCCCAGGAACCAGTGCGGACTGGCACGTGGGCCCACGCGGGCCAGAGATCCCACTGCCAACCAAATGCTTCCCCCATCAGCAGTGTCAACACGAACGAATGAATGTCGAAGTTCGTCGAGAAACACCTCCAGCTCAGAAGGCCTCTCAACGAAGGCCTGCCGAGCGCATTTCGCAAGCTCGAAGAAGTGCGGGTAGCCGAAAGCGTTTTTCACGTCGAAGAAAAGCTCAGTGACACCACGACCGAGTGCGTGCAACCTGTGAGCGACACACGTGGAGATGCAAATCGCTTCTTCCCAGCGTCGGAAACCCCCTTACCGGAAGCATCAGGTCGACCAAACGCGCGCGACCCACGATGCCAAAGAGTAGCTATGTACGCACCGGATAACGCACGAAACAAATGAAGATCACGAGGTGCATCCCGTCCTACTGTGGCATCTTTTTGGGGCCTCCACAAGCCATGACGACTGCCAACGCAGCGGCACCTGCTCCCTGCAGCGCACAATACCAAAAAGCAATAAGAGACCATCTCAATCCAGGGCGTCTCAGGCGGCGACGCGATAGAACCCAATCCAGCACCTCTCCGCGTCAGACAAGAAGACGGGTCGAGAAGCATGCGAAGCAGCTCGCTGGGGATGCCCCAGGGAGGAAAAGAACGTCGATAATCGACACGAGCCGCCCATTTGTTTTTAACTGCAGCCTCATCGCGACGAGCGAGACCCGTCCCCCCAGACCAGTTCCAAGGACGCTGCTCAACACGAGCAGAAAACAATGAGTCATTGTCCACCTCAGAAGCACCCAGACCACCGTCCTGCGCAGGCAACTTCAAGCGCGTAGCCTTATCCTCCAAACTAGCTCTGAATCTGGCAACCTGACGGGCAACGGCGTTTCTGGGGACCCTCTCCCCGCCCAGCCATGCGGTGCGCCAGTGCCCAAGCTTCTGAGAAACGTCGCTTCTCCCAAGCCTCTGGGCAATCCCTCTCAAGTGCAAGACGGCGGGTGCGGGCACCACGCTTCAAGGTCCGGCGCACGCTGCACACGATAGCACCAAGAGCAGCTGTACGGAACTTGCCAACGAGAGGACGAGTGACCACAGCAAGGCAGAAATAAAGTATGTGAACAGCGGGTCCAAGCCAAGGAAGTAGAAGTACAGCGTCACTCGCAGGAAAAAACAGAAATGCAGAGCAAACCGTAGCAATGCGACGACGGAGAATGGCAACCTTCTCCTTCTCCAGCATATCAGGGCGTTTCCACTGAGAGGCCGTGCAATGCTCAGCAGCGCAATCGAGCACGATATCACAGAAACGAGAATCGACAGCATCAGGACCACAACCACGAGCGGCAGCAACAAACTCAGGCCAAGCGGTTTCAAAACGAGACTCCACTGCAAGAACGTATTCCCGCTTATGCGATCCAAAACGATATCCTTGCACCGCTGCACCAATGCCTCCTTGCTCCAGAAGCGCTTAGCCGAGTGGAGGCTGCAGGCGCCGCGGAACTCCAGAAAAACAAAAACGGAGATCAACTTCACAACGAACAGGTCTGTGGTCGCAGGCAACCGTGTCTGGAATAAGCCGCAATAGATCCCCAGCCGACTGCCAAATATCAACACTCTGCACGCGGGGAACACGTCGGAACTGACAGCTATGTAATCCACTATGGACCGTGAACCGTCGGGGCCGAAGTGAGTGGAGCCGCAGGGGAAAAACGTGTTGACCAAACGCATATCGTCCCCTAGAACAGCCAAAAACAACGACCCGTTTTAATTCTTCTCAGCAGGAAAATGGCCTCCGTCAGCAGGGTGCGACGTGGGAGCCCAGACACGCATTCAAGTACGGCCCAAGTGAGCATCCGCATCCAGAAGCCAGACCTCCGTCGTGCGACTGCAAACAGAAAGCTGTCGAGCAAGCCGACGGCATACTTGATCGGACACTCTCCTGCCATAATCAGAAACAGGATGATCAGGAGCAGCAGCTACCAAGATAAGGATGTCGAAATTCCTCCGCCTGACACGTACCCCTCCGCACCGTCCTTGCATCGACTTCGGGGGAGGAAGAATACGTGTCCATGAAGTGCGAGGGACATAATCTGTACGAAACAGCAGGGCACAACCAGCAGACAGATTTGTTCAAGGACCCCGGTCAGCGCGAAAATGAACAGCGATGAAACGAGAAGTGCTGCTCTGCACCTCAGCGGACAAGCCAGCGTATCATAAGCGAGTCCCGTTCAGGCCGATGATGTAGGCGCCGTCGACGCAGTCGGCGATGTCCTGAAGACGCCCACTCCCGCGCGCTCAAACAATTGTATTACAAGAGCGTCAATGTCAAAGCTTAGTGACTCGACACAGGGAGCCGGATAGTGTTAAACATGACGTGATAAGACCTGCACGGGGGGTGTTCGGTATCGGAGCCTGCGGCGCGCATGCCTCGGCTAGCCCTTGAGCAAAAATGGCCGGGGGACGAGAGCGAGGAGGAGAAGGCGGAGGAGGAGGAGGAGGAGGAGAAGGAGGAGGAGGAGCGGCCCCCACGGGCACCCCCAAAGCCCCCGAGAGGCCCCCGAGAGGCCCCGGAGAGGCCCGCTTTTGCTCCGTGGCGAGGGGGGGCGGGCCGAAGCGCGGGGCGGGCACCCGCCGCGCGCCGCGGAGCCCGCCTCCGCCCCCCACCGCTCCCGAGGCTCCCGAGGCGCATTCTTCTTCCTCCTCCCCCTCCTCCTCCCTCCTCCTCCTCCTCCTCCTCCTCCTCCTCCTCCCTCCCTCCTCCTCCTCCTCCACGTCCTCGTCCTCCTCCTCTTCCTCCTCCGCCTGCACCTCCTCCTCCGCCTCCTCCTCCTCCATCCTCCACCTCATCGCTTCCTCCTCCGCCTCCTCCTCCTCCTCCACATCCTCCTCCTCCTCCTCCTCACACCCTCTCTCTCCCTTTCTCTCTCTCTCTCTCTCTCTCTCTAGCTCTCTCCCTCTCTCTCTTTCTTTCTCTTTCTCTCTCTCTCTCTCTCTCTCGCTCTCTCTCTCTCTCTCTCTCTCTATCTCTTTCTTGTGTTTTCTTTGTTTTTTCTCTCTCTCTCTCTCTCTGCGGCACCGAATGACGCGGCGCACGCCGCCCGACCGACGCGGAGCGAGCCGAAGATCGCAGCAGGGCACCGGGCGCATCCCACGCGTCCCTCTCTCTCTCGTCCTCTCGTCCACCCCGGCCCCGCCCCGCGGGGAGCTCTGCGCCCTGGAATCCACTCAGGAGCGGCCCTGCCCAACAGAGGGGGGGGACCGACCCCCCCCCCCTGGAGGGCAGGGCGGCGGAACAAGACGGAGAACGAAACGCGCGTCCAAGAATCACACCACCGAGGAGCCACACATGCTTCTTTTACGTCGCGTGTGTCCACATCATCGTACTCGTCGTCGCACTTTCTGATCCGCCTGGCACCATGTAGCATGTTTTGTTGATCCGCCTGGGTAAGTAGACAATGTTCCGTGACCGACTGTCGCAAGTCTGCAAGTCCTGTGGCCATCGCCCCTGCGACCAGCGGTCGTCCGTCTCTGTGAGCTCGGGGGTCAGCTGAATGCGAGGGGGGCCAGTGGCACGAACAGAGGTAGCCAGTGGGACGGCGGGAGAACGCTGCAGCGTGGCAGCAAGCGTTGGCGAGGCCTTCATGGGCGTAGCCATCAGGAGCGCAGCCTTCATCGGCGAAGTGGCAGGCGCAGCGGAGGAAGAGTGCGCGTCAACGCCTGCGCTGCCGGCATCGCCGACTCTCCGAACTTGCACTGGCGGCGGGTTGTCCTCTTTCCCCGATGTCCAAAGTCAAATGAGCTGGATCGTCTGGAGGAAACCCGCCGGACGAGAGGCGCACACAGCGGCCGCGGTGAGAGACCACCCCGTGCGCACCCTCCCTGGTGTCGAGGAAGTGCCAGGAGGCGGCGCCCTCGGCGAGAGGCGCGCGTAGCGGCCGAGCTCAGGATCCACCCCCTGCGCACCCCCTCTGGTGTCGAGAAAATGCCACGCCTGCGGTGCCCTGGACGAGAGGCGCGCGTAGCGGCAGCGGTGAGAGACCACCCCCTGCGCAGTCCCTCTGGTGTCGAGAAAATGCCGCGGTTGCGGCGCCTGGACGAGAGGCACGCGTAGTGGCCGCGGTGGGAGAGACCCCCCCCGCGCACCCCGACTGGTGTCGAGAAAGTGCCCCGCGTGTTATGCCCTGAGCGAGAAGCGCGCACAGCGGCCGCGGTGAGAGACCACCCCCTGCGCACCCCCTATGGTGTCGAGAGGGTGCCACGCCTGCGGTGCCCTGGGCGAGAGGCGCGCATAGCGGCCGCGGTGAGAGACCACCCCTTGCGCACCCCCTCTGGTGTCGAGAAGATGCCACGCCTGCGGTGCCTGGGCGGGAGGCGCGCATAGCGGCCGAGCTCAGAGACCACCCCGTGCGCACCCTCCCCAGTGTCGAGAAAGTGCCACGCCTGCCATGCCCTGGGCGAGAGGCGCGCATAGAGCGGCCGAGCTCAGGAACCACCCCCTGCGCACCCGCCCTAGTGTCGAGAAAGTGCCACGCCTGCCATGCCCTGGACGAGAGGCGCGCATAGAGCGGCCGAGCTCAAGAACCAGCCCCCCGCGCACCCCCTCTGGTGTCGAGAAAGTGCCACGCCTGTTATGCCCTGGGCGAGGGGCGCGCATAGTGGCCGAGCTCAGGAACCACCCCGTGCGCACCCCCTCTGGTGTCGAGAAAGTGCCACCCGTGCTATGCCCTGGGCGAGAGGCACGCATAGCGGCCGCGCTCAGGAACATCCCCCTGCGCACCCCCTACTATGCCCTGGACGAGAAGCGCGCATAGCGGGCGAGCTCAGGGACCACCCCCTGCGCACCCCCTCTGGTGTCGAGAAAGTGCCACGCTTGCGGAAGAGGAGGAGAGGGAGGAGGAGGGGGGGAGGTGTGAGGAAGACGCGGGTGCGACGCGGATGGGAAGAAAACCAGAAGCCCACGAAACATGTGGGGGAAAAATCGCGTAACAGTCAACAACGTGTTTAAACAAGCACGAGCAGCACAACGGGAGCACAACGAAAAACAATACAAATAACAAACCAAGGGCCAACATCTAACTAAACAGCGTTGTCCCTGGTCCTTGGGGAAAGCCCACCCCCGCGGGTCCATCCTGGCCGGAGCTCTCAGCCCTGCGGATCGGTGCCCGATCGCTCCGCGGGGGGCAACTCGAGGGCCCCCAGAGAGGCCGAAGTCTGCGAGAAACCTCCCTGGACTCCAGGGAGGGGCGGCTCCTCGCAAGGATCGGCTACGAGCAAGAGTGACCCTTTGGTGCGCGGACGAACGGGGCGCAAGGTGGCCAAATCCAAGCGCGCAAGCAGCCGCTACCGCGCCGCGCTCGGCGATCAGGGGGGCCCCGATGAGCCCGCACCAGTGGTCACCCCAGCGAAGGGTCACTCTTAGGCGTAGTCGAGGGGAGGAGGGCAACCCCAACCAGACAAAGGAGGAGGGGTGACCTGGGCCCGGGCCTTCCCTCGGGAGGGGAACGAGCCGGACCATCCGCTCTGGCGCTCTGCCCCCCCCCCCCTCTCGCCGCGGGGAGAGCCCCGCGGCCGCGGAGGAGCCCCGCGGCGCGGAGGCCGAACACACCGCCGAGGCGATGGGGGCGCCCTCGGGGAGGCGCCGGGGCGCCGGGCACGGGCGAGGGCGTCAAGCCCTCGGGAACTCCCACCCGCTCGTTCTGGGTGGGGCCCCCTGCCCCCGCTGCCTCCCCAGACCCCCTGGCGCCGCCAGCAAAAGCATGACGGGGAGGCTCGGGGGCGGTGCTCGGCTCCTCGGGGCACTCGCTGGGCCCTGGGGCTGTCCACAAGACAGGAGGAGGAGAGGGAGGAGGAGGAGGAGGAGGAGGAGGAGGAGGAGGAGGAGGAGGAGGAGGAGGAGGAGGGGGTCTGGACCTCTGGTGGCCCACGCCGCGACGCAGGTGCGGCGTTGGGTGTCCTGCGAGGCGGGGACCGGTCAAGAGCCACCGCCCGGGGGAGCATCTCCGGGGGCGTCGGCAGGCGGCAGATCTATGGGCAGGCCTGGCTCCGCGAGGGCCCGGGCATCCTCCATGTCCATCGCCTGCCCAGGTCCCCGAAGATCGACGCCCCGGGCGGTGGTCCTGAAGGAAGCCCCAGCGCAGGGTCAAGGGTCTGCCGGGCGTGCGGCGCCACCTCCCCACGGCAGCGGAGGGGGGGAGCGAGCAGAAACGCTTGAAGAGGCCCAGGGGCACACACAAATACATAGATACACACAGATCCCAGGATCCCTTGTATTTTCACCCATTTTCTGGATTGTCGTCGTCCCCCCCCCCCATTTCCTATATTCTCCCATCTTTTCCCGGGGATCGACCATTCATTGTGTCTGTGTGTTTCTTTCCCTCCTGTCTTCTCTCGTGCCTGGCCCTGGCCGGGGCCTCGGAGTGGAGCGGGTTCTCCTGCGCGCTCGTGCTGGCAGGAGGGAGGGCCACAGCCATGCCGACCCGGGCCAGTCGGAGGAGGCGGCGTAGTCACCGGAAGCTTGCCCCGAGCGCCTGAAAAAACTGACTACAGGCCTGGGAACAAAATAGCGAACACGCATGCCACATTCATCTGTCAACGCCTCCCCCTCCCCCCAATGTTCGAAGTTGGCGGTGGGTCTGATGAGCTACACCTCGACCGCAGTCTCCCCCGCGCGTGCCAACTGTGAGTCTGGGGGGGAGGGGGAGTGTTCAGTAATTGCTCCTTCCCCTCTG